ATTATTTTACCACTAACTTTATTACTTTATATTTACTTTCTCTATTACCATTTATATTTCAATTCTAACTATACTTTCGTACATAATTTTACCAAACTTTAACTGACACGAATTCAATTGTATTAGCAAAACAACTCATATTAACTATGAGGATATTCTTGATGGTGCTTGAGAAAATAAGTGACATTACTTTTTTATTGATGCCCTTCGCTGCATAATATTTTGAAAATTTGTGAATTGATTATTAATATTATGAATTAATAAAATCTTAACCTGATATTAATAGAAACACTATTCAACACTTCTTATTCATCAACAATACCGAAGAACTTTGCTTTGTTGAAAGAAGCGGACGTACACGTATATTTAATCTTAAAAATCAACAATTTCGACCAACACTTGTGACCTTCCATCTGATGCCGCAAAAATTTTAAAGTTCTCCCGATGGCTCATGTATTGTAGCATTTGTAACACCTTACGTTGATTATAATACTGATTATGAATATACCGATAGCGAAGATGATGGCACGGTTGCTCTTACTAACAAAGCTAAAGAAATATGTCGTGCTTATGTTTATTTTTTTCAACGATTCTATATTTCAACTATAAAGGTAATTAAAAATTTTCATATTCTCTTTATCTTATATAAGTTACATAAAAAAATAAACTCACTCTCTCGTTTTGAATAGTTATTAACTTGCCGCCTACTCTTCAATCCTTAATGTTCTTACAATTAAGTTTTATAAATAGACTACAAACCCACTTGATGCTCGAAAACTCAATATCGTTTTCAAAAGAAAAACAGACACTTGTTAATTGATTCTAATAACAATTATGCTCATATTGAAGGAAGGAATACACATTTTCAATCTGATCAAAAAGTTAAAAAGGAGAATATATTGTGTTAATGGGTGAAAGATTCAAGGTGATAGATGTTATTTCGAATACAATGTAGAGTTACCGGCATTTTAAACCTACGAGCAAATTTAATAGTTGGACTGAATTCCGTATTGAACCGAAAACAAAGCAAAATGGTCTCATCGATGCCTATATATTGATGTTTGAGAAATATCCTGTTGATCCCGAGCAAGAGCGTTTTATCAATTTGAAAAATCTTTCTCGATGTTGAAGATGAAGAATTCGAAAATTATTGCGTGAAACTTTTGAAGGTTTGAAACGTACTACAAAAAAACCTACCACAATATTAAAGAGATTTTCCACACCTGTCATAACTTTCCAAGAGTTTCATATTGAGCATTTGACGAGATATTCATCAAATTACAAATTAGGAGAATGGATCATTTAACTTTGTTGGTTAATTCCTATACAAATTGCGTTAGCAAGAAATAATTTATTTCAACCTCTTAGGGATGGATAGTCTTCAAATGATATGGCACATGATGATGGTTCAGGTCATTATGTGGATAGCATATCAAAGAATATTTCTTTTGGATGGCATGAAAGAATATTAAGTATTTTAGTGATAAAAACGTAAAAGTTGTTAAAAGTATGGGTGAACAATCGTGCGGAAAATCCTTCGATGGCTCCGCAATGGTAATTATTAATATCTCCCCCTTCCTTTTTTTTTTTTTAAAAAAAAAATCTAATTTATAAATTTTTATTTCAGCGTTACGTTGATGGAGTATGGATGTCATTAGGTAAACTAATGATTTTATATTGCATTATATTAAGTTATGATTAATTAATTAAACTCCCAATCACTTTAAATAGTTAACACCAGGGAGTTACACTTAATTGTGAAAGGTTAAAGTTTCTCGAAAAAAGTTCTCAAGAAGGTAAAATTGCAAAACATTATTTTTCATTTCAGACTATTCATTATATTAATATATCCAATAAATATTTAGATATGTTTTTTACACTTTCAATACGGTGATATCAAATCTTATACTCTTTAAGGTGATTGATTTTATATTATCTTACTACTTCTTTCTTTACATATTTACTAATGAATAAAAATTATTATTTTTCAAAAACAGAATCAATTTAACATAGTATATTTCTTCAATTTTTCAAAGATTTCATGATGGCGCAATGTTATTTGATCCAGATCCAAAAATATTTCAGGTGCAATTCAAATATTATTTATATATAATCAAAATGTGACGGAGAAAGTCGAAGTTATTTAATATTTTAATTATTTAGACAAGGCTATGTATTATCATAAAAGACGTGCCTAAGGCCGACAAGAAGACATTGTTAGGGAATTTCAGTCAAAATTTTCTCAATTGATTTCTGAGGTACATTTTATATAATTTTCAAAGGGTTTTTGTTACGGCTTTATTTATTTTTTAATTTTTTTTTAGGAGGGTAAAGATAACTTTATTTCAAGGATGTACAAAGGAAGACTAGATATCATTCCTTGGTCAATGTTTAATGATGCTGGATGTTTTAAAACCTTATCTAATGTTAATAAAGATTTAGAAAACGCAAAATATGAAAATGCGCGAACCTTCTTACAAAATACAAAGTTGATCATGGCTAAATTGAAGGTTCTTAAAGTTATCCCATTCTTAAGAAAATAATACTTATATTTTTAACTTTTTAGATATATGATTGGGTTCGTTAGATGAAAGCTACATATAAATTCGCGTCGCAACATAAAAGGATTACTATCATTCACTGTTTCTTATGGTTTAGAACAAAAATCTCCTGATTTAACCTCTCAAAGTAAATTTTATTATTGTAATTTTACGTCCTTAAATAAGTTTTTAAGCTAGAGATATTTAATTTTATAATATTTACTTCTTTATTTCTAGAACCACGATACCGGAGAGCCAATTGAAGACCAATACACAAATTATCCAAGATTTTATTTGATTTCAATGGAATTGATGATGAAATATTAGCAGATACTAATATTCAATTATATGAAGACAGCTCATTTTTTGTCAAACTTTCTGATGATTTAAGAGAGTACTTCAGAACTTACGTCCAATAGATTTTTTAGACATATCGTTGAGCTTCGCATTGCACTCGTCACGAATTGGTATGGACAAAATACTACCAATTTTCCACAAAATAACAGCGATATTGTTAACGGAAGGTTTGCAATAGAGTAGGAATTAAACAACCTTACACGTTTGTGGACATTGTGTGAATTGACATGCTATCAATGTGGCTTAATATGTGTTTATAATCGTGAACACGAAGATGAACATGATTGTTTGACAGTACATAAGTGTCATTTCAATTGCCAGTTTACTGAACAACATAACCTTAGATTAATTCCATCATGCAATTACAAGCTGGACATGAAGGCATACACGCATATAATAGAATAATTACTCATTTATGTGGTCAAAAATTTAGTCTTCACAATAAGCGTAGTTGTTAAAAATTTGCGCAAAAAAAAAGGACATCACGATGAACATATATTTTAATCGACACGTCATTTTTGTGAGGAAAATTGTTCATTGTCAACAAAATCTCAAAAAGGAGTAGTTTATAAGTTCCATGTGAAGATCAACACGAAACGCATCGTTTTGAAGATGAAACGTGTCCGATTCAGTGTCCATTTCCAAATTGCCAGAAAAATGCCAAAGCAGTGATCATTTCATTCAAATTCTAAATCACAGTGGATCATTTTTGTGGGTTTGTACTATCAATTTTTTTTTATTATTTTATGTCATTGGAAACGAATTTATTTGAATTAAAATTTTTTGATTTTAGGAATGAACATCAATGTCGTGGGTTATGCGAAGAATCCGGTTATGTAAGGTAGTAATTGCCAAGCGAGAAGATAATAAAGAATCTGAAAAAGAATCACTTACAAAGGTATAAATTAATATGTAAAAAGTTAGATTATTTTTTAATAAAGAGATATTAATATTTGAATGATATTTTATTAACAAAATAGTTTGTTCAATCAAGTGAAAGATCAAAATGCATTAAAAAAATTCCTTAAAGTGAATTTAAGCACCCCGAAAAATATTCTCACGAAGATGATTTTCCATTTTGTGACGCAAAGTGTCAATTCTACGAATGTTTTGTACGTGTTATACAATAAACTCTCTTGTTTTGTGAATTCTTTTTATCTTTTATTATAACGTAAAATGTTTTATAATTAGTGTACATTGCCTCATAGACACACGCAACTTCATGATATCAAGCATCGAAATATGATACCAAATCAATTCAGTGATGACGCAAAATATGCAGGGTATATTATATTTAATCTTATTAGTAATATCAATAGATATTTCTTTCTTTATTTTTTTTTGGCTAAAACATCTTTCAATCGTTAGATACAAATTAATTAATCAAGGAAAAGTCTTCCCTTACAACTTGGTATGTATATATATATTTGATAAATGATGTATATTTTTTTTCTTCAAATATCTTACAATATTAGTATTGTAAAGATTTAGGAAGGCATCGACATGTTGATTATTGTCAAAACGAAAAGGCTTGAAAATCTGGACAGGATATTCAGCTTATTAATAATAATGGTATTTTAAATTTTTATTCAAGTTCTCTTCAGTACCATCAACTCTATTTTAATTATATAATAAATTATAGAAAAACCTATTAATGATCAACCGCTAGATTTCATTTCTCATAGGTTGTTCTGGTAACGTACAGGTTTTAAAGGTATGTATTAATTATCTTCTATCTTTATTTAATGTACATTTGTTTTAAATAATTTTTTTTTTATTCCAGATCCTCATTCTGTTCAGAAACAACAAGAGTTTGCAAAATGTGATACGAATGTTCCACGAAAACATTCTCAAGGGTCTTCAAACGCTCAAATTAAATCATTTTGTGAATTAACTTTTCCCATGCTCCATTCGATCCAAGCTCAAACCTTCCAAATAACTATGGACATATATTTTAGATGGGCATGTGAAAATCCAGATACGTGAAAAGCTGCCGCTTTCATATTGTTTTGTCTTGGATCGATCGGAATCTATGAGTAGTAATGATATGAAGCCTTCACCGTGGACTTTTATTTTTAAGGAAATGAAAGCAAATAATAATAATAGACTCAGTGCTGCTTATAATGCGGTAAGATTTAAAATTAAAGAATTTAATATTTCTTTTAATGTATAATTTAGGTATACCAATTTATGGAAACACGTCTTCAACTCAAGAAAACCAGAATCAATTTTCACCCCCTTTGCGTAATAGCATTTCATTAATCCTGTTTGATCATAATGTTATCGTACCACTTGAGAATCGAAATTTAACAGAATCGGGAGCTTTATTGAAACAATGGTGGTGGAAAGAATTTCGATCTCCCAATGGATTTAATCTATTCTTATTTTGATCCTACAAAGTAGGTTTCTTTATTTTTTGTAAGTTAAAATTTGAAATTTCCGTTAATGTTTGCTTATGAATTTTCTTGTCCCCCTTTTTAGGAAAAATGTCATTATTCTCTTATCGATGGAGAATGTGGTAATCAAACAACTCTACTTAAAATTATTTGTAAAACAAATCAAATAAATGGGTAATTTTCATCATATCATTTAAATTTTGTTGCCTTAAAGAAATTATTAAATTTAATATTTTTGGAATTTTTTTTTAGTTCCCATTATATCTCTATACAGTATCAATTAACGACGATTCACAAAGTCAACCATTAGAAGAGATAGCAAGGATTGCACAATCTTATCATCCTCCAAAAACTTCATTCAGTGTCAATTTATCCGTGCCACTAATGAACCAAATTTAGTTAATCATTTACCGGTGTTTAAAGAAACACACATAACTTTCTTATTTATAATTAGATGAACGTACAAATAAAAAATATATATGAAAAATCTTGTGCTTAGGTCTCGACTTTTTTAAAAAAAACATTCAAAATTTACTAAATTAGGAGGTGTGCTCCAAATCTGGTCAGAAATTTGACCAGATTCACCAGAAATCCGGTCAATTCGACTTTGGTAAGTATAAATTTTTTTTTTATTAATTTTTTTTTACAATATAATATTAAATCTAATTGCGTATTACATCAATAAAAACATTTATCTATAGGGACGGCCTCCTCCTGGACTTCGTACTTCGAAATGGTTGAAATTTCGACTTGGACGGCTTGAATTCAAACAGTAAGTGCAAAATTCTTCCTTTTTTTTGTCTTGGAAACGTTACTAACTTTCATTTTACTTCTTTTCTTTAGGGAATGCCTTCCTGGAATGGATTTCGGCTTGGGTTATGAAGGTAAGGAGGTATGAGGGATTGTTTTTATTTTTCTTTAACTTTGGAACGCCATTAACGTTCCTTTTGCTTCTTTTCTTTAGGAACGCCTTCCTGGACCTAGATTTCGCTTGGGTCATGAAGGTAAGTTAGGTGTGGTTTTTTTTGTTTTTTCTTAGTCTTTGGAACACCATTTACGTTCCTTTTGCTTCTTTTATTTAGGGGACGCCTTCATGGATCTGGATTTCGTCTTGGACTATGAAGGTATGGGATTGTTTTTGTTTTTTCATTGTCATAGTATACATCATTAACATTCCTTTGCTTCTTTACTTGTGATTTTTTTTGTTTTTCTTTGTCTTTGGAATGCTATTAACGTTTCTTTTACTTCTTTTCTTTAGGGGTCGTCTTCCTGAACCTGGATTTTGGTTTGGCAATGAAGATAAGTTAGTGTGGGGATTGTTTTTGTTTTTTCTTTTTCTTTGAAATACTATTAACATTTCTTTTGCTTCTTTTCTTTAGAAGACACCTTTCTGAAGTTGGATTTTAGCTTGGGTCATAAAGGTAAGTTAGGGCGGATTTTTTTTGTTTTTTCTTAGTCTTTAGAACACCATCAACTTTTGCTTTTTTTCTTAAAGAAATACCTTACTGAATCTGGATTTCAGCTTAGGCTATGAAGGCAAGTTAATATAGAAGATTGTTTTTGATTTTTTGACTTTAGAATATCATTAATATTCCTTTTGCTTCTTTTCTTTAGAAGTTGTATTCTTAAACCTGGATTTTAATTTAAACCATAAAGGTAAATTGGTATAGAAGATTGTTTTTATTTTTATTTTACTTTAAAATGTAATTAATATACCTTTTGCTTTTTTTCTTTAAGAAATTTCTTCTTAAACTGTGATTTTCACTTGGATTATAAAATATATATTAGAAATAGATAATTTTTACTTTTTTTATTTAAGAATAATATTATAGATAATTCTTTGATTATTTCTTTATAGAAATAAAAATTTATATAAACTTTAAATTAAATGGTGAATTAAAAAAAGAAAGATCTATTTTGTAAAGTAATTAATAACAACTTAATTAAGATATTCTAAAGTTTATATATAAAATTTTTATTTATCTAACTTTAAAATGATTGGTTATTTTATAAAATATTTGTTATATATACTTTTTTTTTATATATGCTTTTTTTTACACATGCTCTCTTTTTTATAAAAATAGTTTTCATATTGTTTTAATATATTTTTAATATAAATTCAAGTTCTATTGAAAATAATCAAAATAATTCAAATAAAACTCAAAAAAAAAGAGAAAGTCACAAAAAAAAAGTTGGATATAGAATTGGTTTATATCTAATAATAAAATTATTATATGTCAAGTAGAAATTATCACAGATAAATTATGTGATAAATAATATCAGCATAGAAGTTTTACAAACACCCTTAATAACTATTTAAATAGTAAGCATAAAATAATTAAAAAAATAATTAAGCAAAACTATGCGGTAAGAAATAAATTAAATATATAATAATTTATTTATTTAAATTTAATAATTTAATATTATATAATTACTTAATATATTTTTAGACTTAAGATATTATAAGTTAGAAGTTATACCATATAAGAAATTTCGTCAAATTAAACTTTGTAATTTAGTTTTTGATACACAAACTTTAAATATTATACAATCAGAATCTTTTTAAAAATTTATAAAAGAACTTGAATCAGCATTTGACATTTCAAATATTAAATTAATTAAGTAAACCATTCATAGTATTTATAATATACATTTCTTAATTCAAAAATTTATTAAAAATAATACAATTTCAATTTGTTTAACTATTATATATGTAAAGCTCTGAACGGTTCAGATTAATCTGAAAATTTTCAGTTCAGATCAACTTCGGTTCAGTTTCAGATTACAAAAATTTCAATCTGAAAATTTTCGGTTCAGTTCAGATTTTTTTCGGATTATAAAACTAATCTGAACTGAAAAAAATCCGAACTGAACTGAAAATTTTGGATTAATCTGAAATATCAGATTGTTTGAAATGATGAAATTATTATTCTAAACAAATAATAAAAGGATCATTTGATTAGAATGATGAAATTATCATTCTAAATGAACGATAAAAGAATTGTTTGATTGGAATGATGTAATTATCATTCTAAATGAACAATAAAAGAATCATTTGATTGGAATAATTAAATTATTATCCAAAAGAATAATAAAAGAATCATTCATTTAGAATGATTGAAGTTATCATTCTAAACGAATGATAAAAAATCGTTCAATTGGAATGATTAAATTATCTTTCCAATTGAATAATAAAAAATCATTCATTTGAAATGATTGAAGTTATTATTTCAAATGAACGATAAGAAAATCATTCGATTGGAACAATTAAATTATCGTTCTAAAAGAATGATAAAAGGATCGTTCTAAATGATCCAAAATTTCAGATTAATCTAAAATTTTCAGTTCAGTTCAGATTTTTACCAGTTTATATTTCAGATTGGTATTTTTAAGATTTATAATCTGAACTCAACTGAACTGAAATTTTCAGTTCAGTTTCAGTTTGGCCTATAATTCAGACTGAACTGAACCGTTCCGAGCATTATATATATAGATTAGTAAAAATAGATTGAGATTTTTGGATGTTACTTATTTTTTCTTAGATAAAAATTTTACTATTTATGAAATTATTCTTATAATTGAATATATTAGATATCTTTATAATACACAGAATATATCTAATGCATTATTTGTTATTTTAAATAGTGAGGTTTAAGAAATATAACAAATATAGTAGTAACTAATAATAGAGTAAATATGAAAAAATTAATAAAAAAAATATAAAGTAGCAATTATAGATTGTATATACATTATATTTAATAGTAGGAAAAGGATTAAATTCTGTTAAACTATTAGTTTATAAGAGCAAAAAAACTGATTGTTTTTTTTTTAAGATCAAAATAAAGTCAAAGATTAGAGGAAATTTATAAAATTAAGTTAATATGATAAAGATTTTAATTTTATAATTTATGTTTATTAATTATTTAAATTATTTTTATATTTATATAATAATTTTTATAAATTTAGAATGCTGATAAAACTAGTAAATATTTCTTTTAAGCGATTATAGTATTTCAACTATATAGAATTCAAGTTATTATAGTTAGAATAGGTTAATTAAAATCAAAGGTTATATTTAAATACTAATGGTATAATTAGTAAATAATTAAAATACTGATGCAAAAAAATGGAAAGCAACTTGAAAAATTATATTAAGTTTTAATTAATAGAAACTTTTATAAGAATTAATTAATTTATTTGAAGAAGTAATTTGTTATTTTAGTGAAAAAATATATTACACATAGTATTATGAATCTAATAATTGAATAAATTAAATATTTATTACTTTTACCATTATCTAATTCAACTAATTTATCTATATCTATATTAGGGTATTCAGAATAGATTAGCATAACAGCCTAAAAATTACATGTGATTTTATGATTTTTATCGCAAAAAAAATTGCAACTATAATTCTAGTTGAAATTTTATAATTTTTAGTAAATTGACCAAATTTATTATAACAAAATAATATAAAATATAAAATATAACAATTAACCATCTAAAAAAATATTTTATTCATTAATAATCGATATTTTATTTAGATTAATGTTGTTACGTTGATTTAGTAACTTCAAATAAAATCTCAAAAGGGTAAATAAAACTAAGACAATTACTCAAGAAATCATGGGTGAGGATTCACAATAATGTCAAAGAATTATTCTCAATAATAAACACGTAAGATAAACACAAAATAAACACAAAAATAACTCAAAGATATTTTTGAGATTACGCTTCAGAGACTCTAAGTCAATACAGCGAATCAATACAATATCATATAATAAGTTAACTAACAAAAGGGATTGCATAAATGCAAAGGATCACATATAATGTATAATAATTTCAAAAGGTTTGCGAAGAATAAGTTTTATATTTAGTTAATTATACTCCTTTATTAATATAATATAAGTTCAGTACCTAAAAGATTAAGATCTCTTCGGTTACCTTTGCCAGAAAGGTAATGAGACTTAATAAAAATACAAAGATATTTATAC